AGATGCTGTTCCAAGTCCTCCATACAGAGCACGTTACCATAGTCTCTTGAGACTGAAGGATGCCTAATCTAATCATATATAGATGCTCTAAGGTACAATCAGGAGATATATGAGCATAGCCAAGTGCAAAGATGATTTGTCAGAAATTGGTCAAATATTCTCAAATCATTTCCTCTATATTATGGATGCCAGCCACTTCTAGTATTAGAAAATGAAACTGCAACACGGTACTGAGACAAGCATGTTATCACTGATAAAATAGTTGATTTTAATCAGGCGGATATTTCTGGAGAAACAAAAAATAACATATATTACAGAAGTTGGAGTTCCATCAACAAGCAACCTCAACCGTACAGAAAGTAGAAAAATTGCAAATTACTAAATGTTAAGAGAGGAAATTAAAAGAATATGGAAGCAAGATCTGGTCATCTTCCTCCCGGTACTAATTCCAGCAACTGGAGTTGTTCCAAAATCTTTGGTTGCCAGTTTAAAACTTGCCAATATCTCCTAATTTCTTCTCAAAATCTAAAAGTCAGTAATTTTGCAAACATGTCATCTCAAGTTTCAGGACTTGATTCCTAATTTTCCTGCTTGACCTTTTGGTGATCCCTCAAGCACCAGCAATGCTAAGAAACAAAAATAGTGATGATGATGATGATGATAACAACAACAAACCTACACATCTGAAAGAGAAGGTTCCCCAAGAACTCACAGAACAGGTGATCGTTCTATACTTTTAGGAACCATCTTCTACAGCTCTAGAGTAGACGATAATAATATGAATATTACAACTGATACTTGTAGATCCTCTGGAGTGCTTTTTTTCAAGTCAAACCTTGAAAAGTGCACTCAGCACATGCTCAAAAGCCGAGTGTGGGATATACACCCTAACTGACTTGCCATGGGCCATAAAGCCGTGGAAATAAAAGGTGATAAGAAGCTGAGGCGAGGAACTGTCTCCTCAGGTGTCAAAGAGAGGAAGGCGACTAAGGAGATCGCCGTTGTCTGCCAGGTGAAGCAGGGAACTGAGGCGGTGATTTTGGGAAAGCGCCGCCATGCACTCCTATCACTTTGCCTGGGCTCCCGCCCGCCTTTTCCCGTCAGGCACGACACAAAACCTCCGTGTTGCGCCTGAAGCCTGGTAGCCAGTAAATAAAACCCCTTTTTAGTCCCAGAAAGGAGTAAACTCGGCCCCGGCCCCTCTCCCCGTCCTTCCGCGAGGGCAACGGCGCGCCCGCCGCCAGGCCACCTTCCGCCTCTTCAGCAGCCAGGCCCCCAGACCGGTTTCTGCCGCGCTGTCCCCGCCTCCCTCCCTCTTCCTCCTCCGGCTCCCTCCGCCCCGCCGTGGTGGGAAGCGCCTCCTTGGCTGACAGGCAGGCGGCTGCGACGGAACGAGTTGGGCCGGAGCGGGCGGGCGAGGGAGCAAGCAGGCAAGCGAGGCGAGGGCTGTGGTGGCCCTGCGGTTGAGCCATGGGTCCCGGGAGCCCGCGGTGATCTCGCAGCCCCCGGCGTCACTCTGGAGGGGACGTGACCTCGGCCACCATGTTTCGGAGGATTTTGCAGAGGGTAAGGGGGCGCCCGGAGGGCGGCGAGGGCGTCTCTGGTCTCTCGGCTGCCGCCGCTGCCTGGACTGAAGCGCAGCAGCAGCAGCGCGAGGCGGTTGGCGGCACTTCCTGGAGCCGGACCAGAGGCAGCGGGGAGGGAGCAGCCCAGCAGCCTGACTGGGGGTCCAGCACGGAGCCGGAGCCGTATTTTCTTTGCCGGAGGACCTCCCGGCCTCTGTGGCTGCCTAGCTTCCTGCTGGGCTCAGCCAGCAGCCGCTTTCCCCGGGTTCCCTTCTCCTCCAGTCCGTGGCTGCTTGCGCTGTTAGGCCCTTCCCTTTCCCCATTCATGGGCGAGGAAGGGGGACGGGGGGCCAAAGAGTCTGGCTGGAGAAGATCAGGAGCAACGGGGGGCTGTGAGGGGGGTGTGGGTGAGGGGCCTGCCAGGCCAGCCCCGTCTTGTCCTCGGGGGCGTGGATTTGGGGGGGGGGGAAGGACTGTTTGGGAGGAGGTTGCGTTCCTGTCAGATGGTTGCTAATTAGACACTAGAGAGAGGATGATAGGATGAGGGGAGAGGAAGTTTTGGCGCTCCGCTTTGGTGACCTGGAGAAGGGCGAGAAAAAAAAAGGGAAGGCCCGATTTGGAAGGGAGAATTGGTTATGAGACTTGTGGACTCCTCACTCCTCCATCCATGTGGGGCACATGCAGCTGTGAGAGGACTTGGGCATTCCTTCTTCACATCTCACTCCAGTTGCTGTTGCAGCCTGGTGTTAAAGGCCTGGGCACTTGGCAGAGTTAATCAGGACTCATTTCTCTCTCTGTCAGGGAGGTGTCTCTGTCGAGGGCGGAAGACGTTACTCCTGGAGTCTTCCAAGGCTAGAGTTATTAAAAAGAACGAGATTAAATCTCACGTGAAGTTGTGGGAGCTGTTGCATCGATGCATGCATTTTGATATTATATATATTGTACCGTACATTGATTACTTCCAGGTGGAAAAATGTGCCTTTAGTTACTGACAGTTGTTTAGTTTGCCTATTTTGCTGCTGTCACATGCTGTGTGGGAGAGGAGGTATAAGGGATGAGAAGCACAAGGGATGACAATGGAAAAGATTCCAGCAGAAAATAGTTTGGCCATACATAGTTAGTAGGTATTTGTATGGAAATTAGATGAAATATCTGCCCTGTTGCCTATTTGGATGGGTACGTATTAACAGTAATAGAATAATTACTAACCCCTTTGCTTAATATGCTGTTAGATACTGCAGCAGCTACCATCATCTCTGCCCCAAATATCTTTAAAAATTTCCACAGCTGACAATGTGGGAACTGTTCCTTGTTGAGTGCTATGATGAAAAAAATCAAAATTAGACACACACACACACATCATTATTGGGGAAATTTGCAAGCTGGTGGCAGAATGATAATGGTGTATTAATGGAAGATTCAAGAACAGATAGGAGGTAAAGGTTGCTAGTGTTATCTGGGTTTTTAATCCTCTCCCTCCCAGAGATGGCATGATTTGTGGATCCTGTTTATGTGTAAGCCTATAATATGGAACTGCACATGGTTTGTGAACTCCAGATTAAGTTTACGAATTGGCTTCCTGTTCCTCTTGCTTGTTATCTTTTTCACCACCTTTGATACGCACATGGATGCTGGGGCATTTCAGACATAAGTCACAAAATATTCATCAGTTATCGCTGCTTAAAATTGATGTGATGAATGGTCTCAGGCACATATCCATGGTAATCTTGGCCAGTATTTCCTTATTCCAGTTTCTTGCTTTTTTGGCTCTCAAAGAATTATCAGTAACTATTCTTATACCAACATAATACAAGATGAAATATCTACCTAGTCCACAAATACTAAACCGTGCTTTCCACTGGTATTTACTATAACTTTTAACTTGTCCTTTTCATTAATTCCTTTGATTTGTTCTCTGGTACAATTACAGAGGTCATGATTTGCATGTGCAAGGTCCCAGAGTGGCCTGGGTTGCCAAATAGGCACTATACAAATCAATCAATAAATATTTACCAGTTTAAGCAGGATAGGGAAGAATTACAGTGATGTCAGAGAATTGCAACCAGTAGACAACACTGAACTAGATTCACTAATGATTTTGACTACTGTAAGGCCACTACATATGTTTGTTTATTAATTAAATTATTTTCATCCCTGCTTCTATTGGCAAATATCAGAGCAGATTGCATTCAGTAAATCATGATGAAAGAAATGAATGCAGTTAAATTAAAAATCAAACTATCTGCCACCAAATTGATTCTGATTTAGGCTGACCCTTCCTGTAGTTTTCTAGGAATAAAATATTCAGAACTCATTTACCTGTCCTTTGTGGAGGTACTTTGGGACTATACATTTTCCCCAAAGCTTTCTGGGTTATCTCTTTTGGTAGTTACTATAGATAATACTTTAAAACAGTTAAACACTGAATGTAGAATGATAAGAGATAGAAGATCAGGCTACACTCTCACAAATTATCAAATTCTCAGGTCAGCAGCCATATTTTAATTTGCTGTGGGAATAAAGGCAGAGGTAACTGGAATACCCTCCTCTTGCAAGCTAAACCAGCAGCAGCTGAGAAAGCCCTCTCCTGCATCTCCACATAATGTGCTGCTCTCAATGGTGAGACATTAACAAGTTGTCAACAATTGTCAATTATATACGAAGAGAAGTGCTTCCTCAGTTATCTAAATCTTAAGCCATTCAGGGCTTTAAAAACGGTCAAACCTTGAACTTAGGCCAGTGTAATTCTTTCAGAACCAGTTTATGTGGTTTCTGAAAGGTTTTCAGTCGAGCTGCCACATACCTTGCGGGATCTGTGTCATCTTCAAGGGTTGCCCAGTATAGAATGTATTGTGGTAGTCTAAATGGGAAGTTATTCATATAGGAACAATTGTGGCCAAATAATCCTTTTCCAGGAATGATTGCAGCTGGTCACAGGTACTCTGAGCTACTGAGTCCACTGGGCCTCAATAGACAATTTGCAATCTTCATATACATTGATTGAGTTAAAGTTAAATAAAGAAGTGATTATTTGTATTTTGATAAGCAGAAGAATGGACAAGAAGGAGTTCTCTCCTTTAGGCACTCTTTATTTCTTCTCTAAAATAAGAGTGAATATGATAGGAACAACAGTACCAGTGTCTAGATGTAAAATTTTGAATATACAGAGTGTTAAAATAATTAAGGGAATATAGAAAAAAACAGTACTTAAAAACACACACCATATTTTAAAATTAAAGTGTGAGCAGCATTTTACTAAATGTTCCTCAAAACAACCAGCTCTCCAGCCAAATTTGACAGCAAGGTCAAATACAACAATATTCCTGACAGTTGAACATTTATACAAATCAGAGTGGGTAAAAATCAATGATTGTTTAAAATCAAATTAATTTAAATATTGATTTAAATTTTAAAAATGATTTTTATTTAAATCACTGGAAAATCTGATTTCCTATTTAAATTACAATTTAATTATTTAAATCAATTTGATTTAAATCAAACCTACCTGGATGCAAATGATAGCTGTGTAAACAAAAGACTGAATTGAAAGTGTATTGAAATAACAAATGATAGCTGTAAACAAAAGATTGAATTAAAAGTGTATTGAAATAATTATTTTGTAATGTGTAAAATGTTACATTCCTATATTAATCTCAGCACTTTATTCTTTCTGTACGTTACTATCCTTATAGTCAGTGCAAACCACTGGACTCTGACTCTGTTAGACTTAACAATGATATTTATTGTCACAGTGGCAGTTTGCCAGATTCTGAGTTACAGGAGTCATATTTTACAGGAATTATAAAAGCAATGGAAATGCCTATTATTAAAATTTCAACTGGTACATCAGACCCCTATTACCTGGAGACCCTGGGAAAGAGAAAGTTTACAATTTGAAGGGAAGGCAAACATCTGAGAGAATCATAAATATAGGGAGACAATAGACATATACATGGCTGCACAATGAATTACGCTGTTCAATACCACACACATACCAGACACCAACAACACTGATACCAAGGATCATGTAGCAATAGCAGCAACACCAACAGCTGACAAGGACAATGTGGATTTTCCTCCATAGGTTCAAAATGGCTTGGCTGGTTAAGCACTTAGAGAAATTTTGTTTCAATTATAATATGCATAAAGGCCAACACCAACACAAGGACAATGTGGATTTTCCTCCATAGGTTCAAAATGGCTTGGCTGGTTAAGCACTTAGAGAAATTTTGTTTCAATTATAATATGCATAAAGGCTAAGAAAAACTTTTTGCTTTATATATTCTTCCTTTTAAGAACTTTGGTAGCTCAGAAATGTATTCTCTGTTTTTCAATTTGTCTTTTTAGGCTGTAAGCTTTTACATTTTTAGAATATAAGCTACTGCAGTTTTGGAACACATTTGTAACATGATTTAAGTTTCACCTACAACTTAAGTCTTGTTTTGGAATATGCTTTTGTTTGCAGTTTCTCATACTTGTAAGAATGTTGGATAGCAATCACACTTGCAGCTTTTCACAGATTGCAAGGATGGATTTCTGTTCAAGCATTTGTTACTGCAGTTTTTCTTATAGCTATTTTCAATACATTTTGTTCCATTTTGAAGTATTTTTATGCATATAAAACATATAAGCAATGCAAATAAATAAATCTTGTAGAATTAGTGAAGCTGATGTCAGTCTGACATCAATTCCTGGAAAGATTCTAGAGAAGATCATTAAGCAGATAGTTTGTAATTACTTAGAAAGCAATGCTGTCATTACAAGTGTGATGCGGCTGCCAAGAAAGCCAATGCGATTCTTGGTTGTATCAATAGGAGTATAGTGTCTAGATCAAGGGAAGTGATAGTACTACTCTATTGTCAGACCTCACGTGGAGTATTGTGTCCAGTTTTGGGCACCTCAATTCAAGAAGGATGTTGACAACCTGGAATGTGTCCAGAGAAGGGCAACTAAAATGGTTAAAGGTCTGGAAGCCATGTCCTACAAGGAGCGGCTTAGGGAGTTCGGAATATTTAGCCTTACAAAAAGAAGGTTCAGAGGGGACATGATAGCCATGTTTAAATATTTGAAAGGATGTCATGTTGAAGAGGGGACAGGTTTGTTTTCCAGGGCTCCAGAGACTAGGACACAGAGTAATGGTTTCAAACTCCTGGAAAAGAGATTCCATCTGAACATTAGGAAGAACTTCCTGATGGTCAGAGCTGTCCGGTAGTGGAATAGGCTGCCTCGAAGGGCGGTGGAGTCTCCTTCTTTGGAGGTTTTAAGCAGAGGCAGGACAGCCATCTGTTGGGAGTACTTTGATGGATGTTCCCACATGGCGGGGGGGGGGAGTTTGGACTGGAAGGCCTCAGTGGTCTCTTTCAATTCTATGATTCTATGCTGTTGTCCGGAATTATTGCAACAATGAAAATACTTATACTGTACCTTTATACCCAGATGAATTTCAGTATGATTGGAAATGGTTGTTTGGTTTCATTCTGGAAGTAATCCTTAACTGGGATAAATGTCAGCTGTGATGAGCACAGGCTTCTAATTTTCCTCCCAGGGGTCTATAAAGTTCTATAGGGCCCTTAGGGCAATATTCAGGTCTAAGACTCTCTGACCTGGCAGCATAATATAGAATGTTCTCTTAATAGTTTATATGTGCCCCAAAGATGAAAGCAAATTTCTGTCTAGGATTGAGTTGAGTCACTGAGTAGATTGAAAAAAGTGGTTTGCATTCTGAATATCTAGCTTGGAATGTCAGAGTCGTGAAGAAATGCAATTGTGAAAATTGCTTTCTGGATATTTGATACTTAGGGAGTTTAATGAAAGGAACCTTAAAGCTTTTCAAATACTTTGCTGGCAATTAGTTTAGTTGTCTTACGTAAAAGAACACGGTGTAGTGAGAATTAGCAAAAAGTGATTGTATGGCAGCCTGGAAAGAGATGAAGATGTGTTGTAGTATTTTTAGGGCTTCTCTTCTGAATGTTAATTCCTTTTTGATCCAGTTCTTGAAAAATCAAAATTTACAGCTAATTATATGTTGACTGATGTATGATTTCCCAAATATATATTTATTGAATTCATGCCTCATCTTTCTCCCCCTAAAAAGGACTCATAATGGCTAATTATAAAAATGTATAAAACAAATACATGGAACAATATATACTGTAAAACATAAGGCAATTGATAGAAAAAACTATAGCATCCACCCTGTGTAGCATCCGCCCTTTTTTGAATGATGTAGTTGATCACCAAAGACTGGTAACTTCAAACTTCTAAATTAAATCAAATATGAACAGCAGATACGTTTCCTGAATGTTTGCATTATATGCCTGCAGTATGTACCTGTTACTTTAAGACAACAGATTTCTTTAATATTTTAAACTCGTCCAGCTTCTCTTTTTGAAAGACATTTTGAGTTAATTTGCAACTGTCATTTCTTTAAAATGGAAAAATTTATTTGTGTGTCTTTTTTTTCAACCTAGCAAATAAGTACATCTGTGTTATATTACTGTTAGTCAGTTCTTCCTTCACTTATGAAGTAACCACGCTGTTAAGATGTAGAATGACTGTCAATTTAAAAAATTCATGATATGGTAACTTGAATCTAAAATAGAACAGGTGGGAGATCCAAATGTCTAGGAGAACTTTTAAAAAAGTTCAGCTGTTCAGCAAAAGTTTTTAAAAGTGTAACTAAATGAGTACCATCTGTAGGGACATGTTCAAGAGGCCAGTGTTAGGTTTTCAAAACTCATATTTAATGTCTTCATATATCTGTATTAGTGTTTCACTAGTCCTTCCTGTGAAATACACATGAGGTGTTGACAGCATCATCCATGTACATCTGGTATGTGTCTGGGAGCCATGCATCTGAGCAACCAAAACATTACTTGGCTACAAATAATGGAAATCTGTATTTTGCAATAAAAATATGTTTTAGCCCTATTTCATGTGGCTTTCCCCTGTTAGATCTGACTATTGAAAGACAGTTCACACAATGTTGTTTCCCACATGTGAGTAGCTTTAACCACTCTTTAAAGTCCACATTCACGTAGAAAAGTGTAATGCATAATTCAGAAGTAATTAGATGCCAGTTTTGCTGTTTTGAGTTTGTGCTTGGAGAACATAGGGTATGGCTGTCTTGTGTTTTAGAGATTAAATTATTTATTCAAATAATTTCAAATTTGCTTTTCTACTTTAATTTTATATACATGTGTATATGTCTGTGTGCCTGTATCTGTAAATATGTGTGTATACATGTATATGTGAAATAATTAAAATGTGATATTCCTACTTGGTGTGTCAGCTAGCACTGGCAGCCTCTGTCCTTGATACTTTGCTTCTGAAATGCTTGCTGAGCCTTTATGTTTGTGTATAGTTAGAACTAGAGCAATTTTATGAAACTGAAGTCAAATTTATCACTGCTAGGGAAAAAACAAATACAAATAATGTTGGATATCTATATATAAGATCTGGAAAGGATATGAAGCATGAAAGTAGAATTTCTTTATGAAGGAGGTATTACAGGACAATTCTCCTCAGATCTGCAGGTTGGTTGTGGATTATATGATGTAGAAGTGTGTCTTAGGTAGTAGGGTAGATCCCAAAGAACAAATTTGGCTTGTGAACCCCTCCAGATAAGACCTCCTTAAATACCCCATTATGTGCTAATCTTGATAGAGCCCTCCCCTCCTTTACACAATATTTCTTTTTACTGTGCATATACGGGTTTCCCGTATGTATATTTCTGCACTTTTTTGTTCCTTTCAAAGCCTTCCTTTTTTTTATTCTGACCTGCATCCAAGGTAGAGTTTAGTGCTTCCTTTCCCAGTCTGGAGATAGGGTTTTTTTTTGTTTTTTTCATTGGATCTTGCTGTTCTCGTGCCTCTCTGCATCCAGAAGGGCAAGTATTAACTCCAGGATACTTCCCCAATCTACAGTAGAGGAAAAACAATAAATGCATGTGTGGTAGTGTCCCTCTTGGTCTCCTCACTTTATCTTTCCATCTCGTTCTCTGTGTTTCCAGCCATGAACTCAAGAGACACAGAGAAAGAGGGACTGTTAGAGGGAGAGAAAAAAGTAGTGAAACTACATTGAGCAGACAGACACATAGGCAGCAGTGAGAAATGGATCAATACAGTTTCACTTCTTTTTTCCCCTTCTCTCTCCCTCTAACAGTCACGCTCTCTGTCTCTTCAGTTCATATTTGTATATGAATACTCCCATCTCTCGTTGTGATGCAACAGTAGGTTCTGAGCTCACAACTAGAGATGGGGGTATTTGTATACGAATACCCCCCAGGTGGAAATAACGAGGATCTGGCTCCATGGAGCCAGACTGTCCACTCACCATTTTGCCGCTGATGTGAGCTCGACGGAACCTTCCTATCACGCCGTGGTTGTCCGCAATGGATTAGCCAGTCTGTCACCTGGCAGAAAGGATTGTCATTCTGCCTCCTGCCATGAGTGGCTAATCTATTGCAGACAACGATGTGAAGGGAAGGCTCTGCCGAGTTCTCTTCAGCGGTGAAATGGTGAGTGGACAGTGACCCTCATTATTTCCACCTGCGGGGGGGATATTCGAATATGAATACCCGCATCTCTACTCACAACGCTTAAGCAGGCCTTTGATGAGGCTGGCTTTTAAAATTTTTGATCTCTCAACCACCTTGTTTTGTCAGGAGGCTGTCTCTGCTCTGGTTTCTGTGGCTCCAACAATGGTGGTTGATGGGAATGCAGCTTCTGGATATTAGTCTTGGCACTTATTTGTAAAATCTCAGGCCTTCCACAAAAAAGAAAGGCAGAACAATGTTGAAAGTGTCCCATCTGGAAGAAACCTATGCCAGCCTGAAATTGATGTAATTCCTTTAGTTTCTTTCTGGGAGTGGTAGCTATGTTGCTGTACTGCAGCAAAAATAGCAGAAAGTCTTATGGTACCTTAAAGACAAAAAGGTTTTTTTGCCATAAGCTTTTATAATATGTACTAATTTGGATGCAATGAAACTTGTAAATTTTTAAGACTCCTGGCAGTGTCAATACACTTCAGTTAGTTTCAGTGGGGAAAAGGAGGATTTTCGAAAATATCTGGTCCCAAGTTGCTTGGAAAACAGAAAGGTAAGTTCACACTCATGTTCCACCCTGCTAATATGGGCCTGCATGGCTTTGAAAGTGGTAAAGGATATGTTACTTTAGTTCTTCCCCACTTAGATATGGTTCTTACTTCTTACCTATTGAGACAGTACCTTACATTTCTCTCTTCCTCTCCCCCCCCCTTTTTTTTGAAGACTCCAGGAAGAGCTGGGTCTCAGACCTCTGACTCTGATTCACCTGCAGTCCCTGGAAATGCAGTTGATGTCAACAGTGAGAGCTCTTCAGAGGTACTGTATTGCAATAATACATGGATATAAGTTCTTTGGTTTTTTTTATAAAGTGGGGAAAGGGTTGTAGTTTAACATCTGTGCTTTGTCAATATAGCAACCTACAACAATGTAGGTTCTGAAAGAAATGGGTGTGCCTCAGCACTTGATTATCCTGATGCTTAACTTGTATTGTGGATAATAAGCTACTGTTAGGACATCATCTGGAGAGACAGAATTTTTCCTGTAGGCAAAAGGGTGCATTTTATTCTATGTGTTCAGTTCGTACACAGAACATATAATGTGGAAAGCAAGGCTAGGTTCAGATGAAGGAGGAGTGAAAATTGGTGAAAGAAACATCAATAATTTAAGATATGCTGATGACACAATCTTACTGGCAGAAAGCAACAATGACTTGAAAGAACTTTTAGTGAAAGTAGAAAGCGCCAAAGCAGGACTGCAGTTGAACATTAAGAAGACCAAAATTACAACTACAGAAGAACAGCTTTAATGCTGACAGTGAAGAAATTGAAATAGTTAAAGATTTTGTATACCTTTGTTCAGCCATCAGTCAAAGTGGAGACTGCAGCCAAGAAATCAGAAGACTCAGCTTGGAAGAGGAGCAGTGAAAGAACATCAAGTGTAAGGATCTGTCACTGGTGATCAAGATAATCCACACTATTGTGTTTCCAGTCACCATATATGGGTGTAAAAGCTGCTCAGTAAAGAAAGTTGGCAGGAAGAACATTTGTGTGAAATGTGGTCTTGGAGGAGAACTTTGCAGATACCCTGGACTGTCAAAAAGACAAACAAGTGGTCCTAGATCAAGTCAAGCCTGAACTATCTCTGGAGGCAAAAATGTTGAAGTTGAGGCTGTCCTACTTTGGGCTCATTATGACTAGGATTCTCTGGAAAAGACAGTAATGGTGGGAAGGTGAAAGGCAGCAAGAAAAGAGTAAGACCAAATGGATTGACTTCTTAAAGGAAGCCACAGCTTTGAATTTACAAGAACTGGGCAGGGTTGTTGAGGATAGGGCATTTTGGGGATCACTCATTCATAGGGTCACCATAGGTGAGAGGCAACTTGATGGCACATAACAACACTGGCACTAAGTGGTGGCTAGATTTAAGGTGTTAAAAGGAGATCCCAGTGCTTGCCTGAGGTGTGTGTGACTTATTACTGCAAAAATTAGTGGAAAAGTCATTGCCTCCTCTGGAAGAAAGGATGCCACTGATGTTAACAGCAAAGAAGTAAAAACTGTCTTCCCTTTTACTGCCACTGATTATATTAGTATTCTAGTCATTTCTAACATTCAGATGGGAAATTTGTACAGTTCATTTGGGTTTCCCAGAGCTTTGATTGCCTAGCATGCACAACATGCTCTCTAACTGAATGAGGTAAAATTTACTCAGTGATTACCAAAATCATACAGAGATTATACCTTTATTAGACTAATCAGAAAAGGCACAAAAAGTGTGCAGGCTTTCAAGAAAATTATCTCTTCATCAATCAAGGTGTTACAAAAGTAAGTGGAGGAGAGGATATGGGGGGAGCCTGAATCTTACATTCTTGCTGTTTGCATGTTATTCTGGAGTGTAGTGGTGAGGAATACTGCAGACTATGAAATGTGCCTTGTCAGGAGATGTAGTAGTATTAGAGTTCACTTTGGGGTAGCCTGTGAACTTGTGGAAAGCTGGAAAATTAAAAGCATTCAGTCCTGTGTCTTAGACATATTTTGAGTCCCCACACAAAGCTGTATGCATTTTATTCAGCCGCACAGGCTCCCTTATTGGTGGAAATGTGGGGTCACCAGGCAGTTTTTACTTTGTCAGTGTTAGACATAAATTGACATGACAGATTAATTGAAGAAAGTCAGTGAGGCCAAACTTGGTAGATCTGTATATTTTGCTTGATGATGTCCTATTCTCTGGCAATGTAAACCTTTCCAGTGTAGGTCCTACTGTTGAGTGGCTAAATTAGACTTCCAGATAATTGCAGACAAAAGCAGCAGCAGCAGCAGAAGATGTACAGTATTAATACAAAACAAAATCCAAAATCCATATTTGTGCCTAGTCCACTATAACTTTCAGGCCATGCAATATTGTAGACATATGAGGAAATTTATGAACTTGGACTGACACTGCCAGCAGCTATACATGTACAGTAAGAGAAAATGTGCATGCAGTCCAGGTGTGGGAAGAAATATGCATTGCCTTTGAGCTGAGGAATGGATAACTAGCCTTTAAGCTCTGTAGTGCAGCTGAATATTTCATTTTCCAAGGTCATATACATAATTAGCTGCTTATTTATTTAACTTATATGCCATCCACACTGCTTAGATGACATGATAAGCCAGTGATCTGTAGGAATCCTAGCTTAATGGATACAAGCAGTGTGGAAGTGGATGTTGTCTGAATGCTGCTGTTTACAGTCGTGGCAGCTAAACAAATCATAGCACGTTGCTCTGTGGTTTACTTAGCATGAACAACAACAGCCACTTTTAGTGGCCTTCATAGATCTTACAGAAGCATTTGATTTGGTTAGCAGGGTTGGCCTTTTTAAAATACTTCCTAAGATTGGATGTCCTCCTCGACTCCTTAGCATCATTAGGTCCTTTCATGAGGGAATGAAGAGCACTGTAGTTTTTGATGGCTCAACATCAGATCCCTTTGACATCCTAAGCGGAGTGAAACAGGGCTATGTCCTTGCGTTTGGGATTTTTTTTGCTGTCATGCTGAACCACGCCTTTGGAACTGCAACAGAAGGTGTCTATCTCCGGACTAGATTCAGATGGAAAGCTCTTTAATCTCTCTAGATTGAGAGCAAAGACCAAAGTCCAGCTGAAATAGATGCAGGACTTCCTTTTTGCCGATGATGCAGCCATTGTTGCCCACTCTGCTGAAGACCTCCAACAACTCATGAATCGTTTTAGCAAGGCCTGCCAAGACTTTGGACTAACTATCAGCCTGAAGAAAACACAAGTCATGGGCCAGGGTGTGGACTCACCTCCCTCTATTACCATCTCCATGCAAGATTGGAGGTTGTCCATGAATTTGTGTACCTTGGCTCAATGATCTCTGACACTCTCTCCCTAGATGTCGAGCTAGATAAATGCATTGGCAAAGCAGCTAC